TCTAGAAGTATTTACCATGTTTCCTATAATAAAAGAAGCCTTGATTAGCAGAAGCTTCTTTAAAAACATTTACAAATCTTACCAGCTCCAACTTTTCTACTGTAAACTGGTAGAATCTCTCTGATGTAACAAATTAGATTAAAACCTATTCAGAGAATTAACTTCATGGCTAATGATATGATGTGTGATATTTTGCAAGCAGACCGCAGGCACTTTGCTCACAGTGGGAGATGAGTGTTTGATAGCATTACATTGACTTTTAAACGCATGCCTGGTGAGAGGGAGAGCTGGTCCTTTAATTCCATTATAAATGCCGTCTGTTTCACACCGAGCAGTTGCCCGTGCACGGGCGCAAACGTAATAAATGACACTGACGCACATTAAAAGCCACCCTTCGACCTACACATCCACAAAAGATTTAATGTCATGTAAACAGAGACGACACACTCAACCACTCATGCTGATGTACTGCTCCTAATCAGATGATTGTGGATGAGTGTTCAGCAAATGAGGTGAGCCACATATCCTCATCACTTTTAGTATTTACATCACACATTACTGCTTTTTTATCCCCCACATGCATTACAGCAACATTAATTCACCCTCCGTAAGGTCTCTGACCTCGTTTTTTTGTCAAAAAGAGATGATCAGTTTCAGACATGGCTGAGATAGTCATTAAATAAATAACTAAATGAATGATAAGTGAACGTGTGTTGGGATTTTTCTGATGTCAGAGGGCGGGGTTGATGAAAGTGGGTGTGGCTCTGCTGCATTCTTGTCATCCTGCTGAAATGTATGCTAGAGGATTCTTGCTGCACCATTTTTCACTTCTCGCTCTCTAATTCAATCCTCCCTCAGAAGCCGTTTCAGTGTTGTTTCCATGGCAACAACACCAAGGCCCCTCCTGGTGAGGTGGCACACTGTTTGGCTTTCTCTTTGCTTTCATTCACTGAATTTCTGTTTTTTTTTTTCTCAGAATTCTCTTATTTTGATATTTAAAGTATTATATTATTATGCATAATATAGATACTATATAGATTATATATTTTAGAAGTGCATCAATTCTGAGATTTTCACAATTTTTAACACCTGATGGCGCTCTAGGCTAGTTTTATAACCACCCTCTTAAGGCTGATTTATAGTTCTGCAATAAGTGATTGGTGTGACCCATGGTACAATCCTTGTGTGTAGTTTTGAATTTATACTTCTGCGTAAGGTTTTTGTTGCTCTGCAATAACACTTCCAAAACGCTAGCTGGCGGTAGGTTTTTTTTTTGTTTCTCTGTCTCGTTTCTTCACGGGTGTTTTTTTTTTTTCTGAACACTACAAGTAGCTAAAACTTGCTCATTCAGCGTTGGGAACATGAGGTAAACGCAAAGCAAAAGTTCCCATCTGGAGATCCTTAACAGGGCGCTCAACACTTGTAAACCATCACTCCAACGGGCTCCCGGCTCTCAGCACCGCCCACGCTTGTCACTGCTACCAAGCGACCAATCACAGACCTTGCGCTATGCAGAAGTATAAGTCAGCCTTTTCCTGCAAAAAACTAATAGGAAGAGTGCATCTGCATCAATGTAAGTTATGTAAGTTGGCTGTTATGTCACAATAGTATTGTAAACACAGCTTACTTTGAACACTGTTGTAATTTTTTAATATATGTTTTAGGTTCAGGTGGTATGTGTAAGGAATTGGATGCAAGAAGAGTATGGCTGCTTGTAAAGCATACAGCGCCATCTACTGTGAAAAACTAAGCTCAAAATCCATTCAAGAAAGAATAGTGTTGCATTTTGAATATCTCAGAATTAATGCAGAATCAATTTTTTCGAAAGTTTTAACCACAGGCCTATTTTTGTGTCAGTCTGTTTTTTTTTTCACTTTGTTACTTTCTATGTTTCAAAACATTCCAATATAGTTATTCATTTTTAATTGTTGTGGTTAAGTAACCAATAGCTAAATGAAAATAAGAAATGTTACCCACCAAATAAAATAAGTTAAGTGTTTACTTTTATATATTCTGTAATTTCCTGTAGGAAACGTTTTTCGTTTTAATTGCTTGAGTTTTAGTTAGTTTCTTGTTCTGAATTACATTAATTCCAATATTTTTTTTTTATAAGTTTTTGAATGGACAATTAACAGTTTTGTCTTACATTCACGCTTTACCAGGCATAACGCTACAATGTTAAATTAAATATCATATTGCTTAACCACATGTAAAGGACATTTTTACTGCAGAATTAATCCCAACAGGTTTATAATAGAAGTTTTTACTAACTGATTCAAAGATCATTTTATTATATTTTATTAAGCATCAAACATTTTCTGATTGGCTGAGATTCATGTAAAGTGAATGCAACACTGTATGTAGTTGTTGTTTTTATTTTTTTTTATATCATGTCAGGTTAGGATGTGCTGTTCTTGGCATCAGTTTCTTTGTCTCAAATTCTACATCTATTTAATTAAGCAGCTTATTTGGGAATCGTTGATGTATCCCAAGTCAGCTGCATGCACAAACTGCTAACAATTCTGGGTTGTTTTCTTTGGTTTAAATTTAAAATAATCTAACCATTAATTTGAAAAATAGATTAAAAAAAATAAAATCTAAATTGTTTACCCATTTTTACATAATTGTTGTATATTTTGGTTTAAACAGCTCACCATTCACCATTCCACGTTCCAGAACAAGGCTCTGTCAACATCAAGGTCTTTGATTCCCAGTGACATTACTGATAAAATGCATATCATGAATTCTTTGAAAATTGGTTACCTGCGGGGGAAATGTGTGTCGAATACATAAATGGTTCTTACATTCAGCCATGATGAACTGTCCAGTGTTTTTGCTGTCTGATGTGTCCTTTTGATTTTCCCAAAACACACAGACAGATATTCTCTCTCTCTCTCTCTCTCTCTCTCTCTCTCTCTCTCTCTCTCTCTCTCTCTCTCTCTCTCTCTCTCTCTCTCTCTCTCTCGCTCTCTCTCTCTCCGTTCACTCATGCTTTTATTACTTACACTTCACAGTCCAGCCGAGTGCTCAAGGGAGAGAGGATTACAGGCCTGTGTCTCTGCTGTTTCACTCATCTCTACTGCTTTATTCATGAGCAGACAGAGACTCAAGGAAGACAGATTGAAAGAGAGAGTGAATTTTTCATTGCAGTGCGATCTGTTATTGAACTGGTGTGTAATTAGATTAGAAAAACACTGCCGGTCTAAATGCCTCACCTCACTGACAAAGAAATATACATCTAGTCTGTTTTGTTTCTATAATTATGAAATATTCCGATGGTAGGATGCTATATATAATGTAGTGATTAATTAGAAAAAGAGTGGAGGTTATAAAGTTTTAAAGTATTTTTTATAGAGATAGAGAGTGAAAGTGAGGATTTGGGGGAAGAAAACTTTGTATTGCAGTGGAATATTTCATAGAGTGGTGTTTATTAAATGGTGAATAATGCATTTAGAAAAACTAAAGACTTAAAAAAAGCCTCTTCTTATGAGATTAGTCGCATTACAAATGTTAAGCATCTAAATGTTTTACAGACAGTTTTGTAATATTGTATAGAATGCCAAAATGGTATATATATATATATATATATATATATATATATATATATATATATATATATATATACACACACACACACACACACACACACACACACACACACACAATATAAATGGTATATCATTTTCATCATATCATTCATTCATTTTCTTGTCGTCTTAGTCCCTTTTAAGAAGCCACCACTACAGGCTTTAGTGTCACATGATGCTTTTGGAAACATTTTTTTATTATTAACTCGTAAAATTGTTGTGCTGCTTAAAATATTTGAGAAAACCTGTATGCTTTCTATTTCAAGGATTATTTATTGAATTGTGTTCAAAGTAACATTATATATTCTTTTCAATACAAATCCTTCATAACATTCTTGACTGTCGATTTTGACCAATTTGCTTCAAAATACTTTCTATTCAAAAACAACACAAATACTGAATGGTATGGCAGTGTAGGTTTGTTGATATTTTCTGTGGAGTCAATCTAGAGCCATATATACTTGCAAAATAAAAGAAAGTTTGCAAACAAAAAAATTAAGTATTGAGCAAAGTAATTAAATACATAAATGCAAATCTCCAAAAATCACAAACTGAAAATTATTTTTTGAAAAAAATATAAATTAATTTTGCTAACAAAAATTAAAAACTGCAAAGAGAAAATAAAGTTTTGGAAAATAAAAATGAAATTGGCAATCAAAAAAAGAACTGCAAATAAAAAAGCAGTGCAAAAAAAAACTAAAATGTTTACAATTAAAAAAAAGAAACTATTTATTTGCAATACATTCTTTATACTGCCTTTACAAAACCCGTCCAGTGAATTGCAATGCAGATTTGCATTTATTTATTGATTTTTGCTAAATCCTTTTATTTTGCAAATATACATGGCCCTAGATTTAAGATTGCATTTTGCTTTTCAGACCAACATTAATAGGCACACATGAATTCAGAAACACACACACACACACACACACACGTGACATGACAACAGTGCTCTTTTTTATGTCCCATTAGCAGCAAACTCGTTCACTTTAGTTGCAAGGTGAAGTTGACTGTGAGCCCAGGTTACTGAACCATTGCGCTTGCATTAGACTGTGTGATGCCAGTGCAGTGCCTGTCTTTATTAGAGTCTGTTTGTGGTCATCAGTGCTCTGTAAACAACAGCAGACCAGTAGGTAGACTTAATTATTTCAGACGTCTATAAAACACTGCAATCGGAAATATGACTGATTAATTAATTAGATGTAATTGAATTCAATATAGGTTCACTGAAACATGTATTACACAAACTAGCACTACCGAAAAAGTTGCCTCAATGGTCGTTGATGTATTATTTGTCATTTGATTATCAGTTTCTTCAAACTTCAGATTTAAAAATGGTACTATTAAAAAGGCTGAGAATGAACTGGCTGACTTATGTTCTAACAGATCTCTCTGTCTGTATCTTAACAGTAGTCAGTCATGCCGCTGGTAAAGAGGAGTATCGAGCCCAAGCACCTGTGTCGAGGGGCTCTTCCTGATGGAGTCCCCAGTGAACTGGAGTGCGTCACCAACAGCACACTGGCAGCCATCATTAAACAACTGGGCAGCCTGAGTGAGTACTCTGCACCCTGCTTTTCTCTTCTGTCATTGTTTAATTTTAAATAATTTTAGGTCTGTCAAAACAGGTCCCATTTTTATTTACCTCACCATGTACTCCTAGTGAAAATTGTGTCAGGGGCTGAGGAGTGTGCTCCCTTTTTTTAATGTAAGAACTGCTGCAAATTGTGCGAGGCTTTCAGTGTTATGCACTTTTAGTTATTTGAGCTGTACTAAAAAAGGTATGCTGGTGAACTATTACTATATATACTATTAGCCCCTTTTACACATACAGACCTTTTCAGAAAATTATTGGCATTTTTCCGGGCTGGTTTGTACGTGTAAACTGGCCAGTAAAAACCAATAATAAACTAATTACCAGTAAATTTGTTCTGGGAATTTTCTGCAAAGAGAAGTTGTAACATTATCTGGAACACATCAGTAAACAGCACATCAGTGCTGTTTGTATATATATATATATATATATATATATATATATATATATATATATATATATATATATATATATATATATATGTGTATCTATATATCTATATATATATATATCTATATATCTATAGATATATATATATATATATTTATATATATATATATATATATTTATATATATTTATATATATATATGTATGTGTGTGTGTATATATATATATATATATATATATATATATATATATATATATATATATATATATATATATATATATATATATATATATACCTTTTATATATATCTTTTATCTGTTACTCTTTAATAAATGATCTAATACTGCAATAGAACTATTGCAGTTACACACATTGCGGTATAGATGCTCAAGCGATAAATATTTCAGTCCTAATATACAGGTATGTAAATCTTTTGATGACACATTAAATGACTCTATTTAAGGATAAAAGTGTCATTTTACATTTTTATCTTTGCCACTTTTCTTCAAATAAGCTTTTACTAAATGTCAGCCAATCATTTAAATAATATAAAAAGTATTCAGTAACTAGCATGTTGTTAATCTCTATATTAATGTTAGTTATACATAAAAATGTATAATTTCATATGTATTGACTTTTTAATTTGTTTGTTTTTTCAGAAAAAAAATAAGTACACATTATGGGCTATATTTTAAACATCTGGGTGCAAAGTCTAAAGCGAATGGCACTAAAGCATTAGGGCCGTGTCCAAATCCACTTTTCATATTTTAAGGATGAAAAAATACACTCTGTGCCGCGGCGCATGGCTTAACAGGGTTGTGCTTATTCTCTTAATGACTTATTGGTGTGTTTTGAGCATAACATGGATTAAACATGGATTAAAAAGTCTTATCTCACATTCTCTTTAAGAGTCAGTTGGGTCAGTTGCGTACATATTTAAATTTGTTTGTTAAGCGCACAGATTTGTCACAAAATTATTTCTAAATTCAGTTCTAATTTCTAGCAAACAAATAATTGATCAATAATAATGAAGTGTGGTCAAAAAATGGAGATTATATCCAAACAAATGTCCTATTCTATTGCCCCATATAATGATACATACTGTACATCTCCAAAACCCAACAGGTGGAAAAATCTAAACTTGTTTTAATTAAAAAATGTATAAATATGAGTATAATAAATACTAAAATTATGTCGAGGGAGCTGTCGTGGACACCGCCCTCTCTATTCTGCCACCCTAGACACGGATATAACTAAGGGCGCGGGTGGTGAGGGTAGTGTCGCCAACGCCGCCCTCTCTATTCTGCCGCCCTAGAAGTGGATATAACTTAGGACGCGGGTGGTGAGGGTGGTGTCGCGGACGCCACCCTAGACGCAGATATAACTGAGGACGCGAGAGGTGAGGGTAGTGTCAGGAACGGTGCACTCTCTATTCTGCCGCCTAGGTCTCCTCTATGGACGCGCCAGCCCTGATTGTAATACATTGCTGTGCTTTTCCATCAATTATACAAAAAACAAAACCATCATGAAAATTCAGCTCATTTTTTCAGCATGGCTTTTTTCTTAGCTTCTGTCTCCATCCATTTTGCAGGCCGACACGCGGAGGACATCTTTGGAGAGCTGTTTAATGAAGCCAACAGTTTCTACATGCGTATGAATAACCTGCAGGAGAGAGTGGACCTGCTGGCCATCAAAGTCACCCAGCTGGACTCCACTGTGGAAGAGGGTAACATCAATAATCTCTCCATCATCTCCAGATCTTATCAAAGCTTTGAGCTGTAGCAGGTAGCAGCAACAGAGAGCCTTTGCCTTCCAGTGCTGTCCTCTATAATGGTCTTCTTTTAGCCTGTAGTTAAAGGGATGACCCAGCTTTCTCTGTCATGAAAGAGAGAGACATCAGACTGTATTACTTTACTCCTCCCTCTTCTCCTCTCATCTCTTGCTTTTGTTCTTCTCTCAGCGGAATTGAAAAATCCAGTGGCCAGTGGCACCGTTTTCTTGTCTGGATTAATGAAACAGATAGCAGAGCTCATCGTGGCTCTGGCCATGTTTATAACTTGTATTAAAATACATTGTGGTTATTCGGATCACAAGTAGACGAGGGAAACGTATTACTATTTAGCAGCATTATTGCAGTTTATATACTTTACATTAGTACAAACCAGTACAGATTGCTGGAAAACAGCCACACACACACACACACACACACACACACACACACACACACACACACACATATATATATATATATATATATATATATATATATATATATATATATATAATACATTATATTTCAACACATTTCTAAACAATAGTTCGAATTTCTAATAACTGATTTCTTTTGTCGTTTCCGTGATGACGGAACATTTAGATTTTACTAGATATTTTTCAGGATTGTAAGATTCAGCTTAAAGTGCCATTTAAAGGTTTAACTAGGTTAAAAAGGTTAATTAATTAAGTTAGGGTTATTAGGCTAACCATTTTATAGCAGACAATTGTTATAACAGACAAAAAAATATTGCTTAAGGGGCTAATAATTTTGACCTTAAAATGTTTTTTTTATTATTATTAAAAACTGCTTTTAGTCTATTTAAAATAAATCAAAGAAGACTTTCTCCAGAATAAAAAATATTTAATATAGTATATACTGTTAAAAAAAATCCTTGCTCTGTTAAACATAATTTCATTTATTTTTTAAATATTTGAAAAAGAAAAGAAAAAATTTGCAGGAAGGCTAATCATTTTGACTTTAACTATATACAGTTAAGCCCAAAATATTTTGGGCCAAATTTCAAGCTTGACAATGTCTGTGTGATTTTAGGAATTTCGTTTGGGTTGGATAAATAAATTAATTAATTAATATTTAAATGGAAATTAACATAATTATTAGCCCCCCTGAATTATTGTTTTTAAAAAAAATTAAAATCTGCTTTTATTCTAGCTGAATTAAAACAAATAAGACTTTCTCAATAAGAAAAAAAATATTATCAGACATACTTTGAAAATTTCCTTGCTGTGTTAAACATCATTTAGGAAATATTTAAAAAATAAAACAAAAAAATCGAAAGGGGGCTAATTATTCTGACTTCAACTGTATGTGTTCATAAATAAAAATTTCTGATAGTTCTGATAGTGATAGACTGATAGCGTCAATGCTTTTACTGCGAAATAAACAGTAAATAATCTGTTACATATATTTACTGGGTCACATGTTAAAGCAGTAGAAAACAATGAAATATACTTTGAATTGAGTAATGCAAGTAAAAATATTATATATTTTATAGTATAAAAATTATTTTATTTCTTAAAATTTTTCTTTATGAGGTCATAATACAGCATTGATACAATTTTAGCAGTTATATAAATTATCGTCACCTTTTAAACTCATTTAGAAGTTTAAACACATTTTTAGTATAGCGAAAGTAATTATTCATTCATTCATTCATTTTTTTTTCCTTTTGGCTTTAGTAAAGTCCCTTATACTTATAAGTCCCTTATTTATCATAGATTGCCACAGGAGAATGGACCGCCAACTAAACTGGCATATGTTTATGCAGCGGACCCCGTCCAGCCACAACCGAGTACTGAGAAACAACCACACACTCTTGCATTCACACAGACACACTCATACACTATGGCCAATTCAGTTTATTATATCTCCTCATACACCACCACTGTGCAGCATCTACCTGGATGACACGACGGCAGCCATTTTGCGCCAGACCGCACACCACACACCAGCTGATTGGTGCAGAGGAGACAGTGAGCAAATTTGGCCAGGATGCCGGGGTAAAACCCCTACTCTTTTTCGAAGGACATTCTGGGATTTTTATAGACCACAGAGAGTCAGAACCTCAGTTTAATGTCTCCCAGGCGTTCACTGAGCAGTATAGAGTCCCCGTAACTATACTGGGGCATTAGGACCCACACAGACCACAGGTTGAGTGCCCCTTGCTGGCCTCACTAACACCACTTCTGGTAGCAACCTAGCTTTCCCATCCAGCTAGCTGGTCTCCCATCCAGGTACTGACCGGGCACAGCCCTGTTTAGCGTCAGTGGGTGACCATGTGAAAGTTGGAGAGAGTTAGCTGCCAGCTTTATATAGTCATGTGAGATTTAAAGATTTTAATCCTGGATTTATTAAGTCACTAAATTAATTATAAGATGTATTCACATGCAAAAGGACTACGCAAAATGATACAGAGACATTTGCTTTTTAATTTTTTTTTCCTCTTCAAACCAAAACAAACAATTTAAAACGACAAGAGTTTAAATGCGGTGTGGTCAGTGCTTTTTGAAAGCATGTCCCACAATGCATCAAATTGTTAGTACGCAAAATAAAGATGCATGTTGTAGTGAAGTCTTCATCTATTTAAAACATCCAGCCAGGCTGAGATCGATAACTAGAGAGCCGGTAAAGAGAGTTTAATATGTTCCAGCTCCCCTGTGACCCCTCACTTACGGAGAAGAAACATTGATGTTTCTCTTAAAGTCTGTGCATTCCATTATCACCTGATTCACGGTGAGCGATGACCTCTCAGCAACATTGTGCTCAAAGAAGGCCTTCTGGGAATGCACAGACACAGCCCGCATATATGTGTGTGTTTATGGCTCTCTAATGTCTGACCTGATGGTGATCTGGGGTTTATGTGTGCTGCATATCCAATGAAAGCTTGGGGAGGGAAAAGAGCAGCGTAGAAGAAGATGCTTTCTGAATAGCAAGACATCTTACTGAAAGGAAGAGACACAACATTGTCTGAGGGAGCGAGCGAGCAAGCATCTGTATGTGTCTGAATTTATATGAGAGATCTGCTGTTGCTTTGTTTACCAAACAAATTCTAATTGGGTTTTGATTCTAAACTTTAATTAAGTTATTTTATGTGTTAGCTCCTACACTCTCAAAATCATTCCACATAAATCAGCAGATTTTATTATTATTATTTATTATTATTCAATTTCTTTTCGGCTTAGTCCCTTTATTTATCCGGGGTGACCACACCGGAATGAATTGGCAACTTATCCAGCATACAGTATGTCTTATGCAGCAACACATCATTGGAAAACATCCATACACACACATTCACACACATACACAACGAAAAATTTTAGCTTACCCAATTCACCTGTACCACATGTATTTGGACTGTGGGAAACCGGAGCACCCAGAGAAAACCCACGCAAACACTGGGAGAACATGCAAACTCTACACAGAAATGCCAACTGACCCAGCCGAGGCTCGAACTAGTGACCTTCTTGGTGTGAGACGAACGTGCTACCCACTGCGCAACCATGCAGACTAATTATTATTTATTTATTTTTTAAATGTATTTTTTTAACAAAAATTTATGCTAAAATTGCAATAAGAGAGCAGGTTCTGTGTGGTCTTGCTCAGAAGTATTTTTTCTGTGTGCCTGTGTGTGTGCGTATGTGTACTGGTTTTGATGGTTTACAAGGACAGAAGTTTGTCTAATGACATGGGTATGACCTACAGTGCTTGATAGGTATGCACCGATACCATTTTTTTTTTATCCAATCCCAATACCAAAATTCTGAGTATTGATCGATACAGACCCGATCCCAATACTGTGCCGTTTTTTAAGCGTAATACAGTTTCTATAGTTCTGGTGATAAGCTCAAATAATAAATCTTTAGTAAAAATAACAGACCCATAGGCCTACTGTATATGACAGACGACACAATCTAACTAAAAACATGATGCTTGCTGTAAACTCTAGGCTACATTTTTTGAGCATTCTTTATGACTTTAATCTGTTGTGGTCCAACTTATACTTACTGTTGTGGTACCAGTTTTATTTAATAAACATTCCCTTTTCTGTTAATGACAATCTCTATTGTGCCCGTCAGTTTCATTCATGTTTCTTTTTATTTTAATCAACTACTTGGACCACAATGAGCCAGGCTTTACAAACTATTCGCTGCACTGAAAGTATTTCCCTCAGAAGAATAAACTCAGAAGGATGAGAGAATAGAAACTCATTGTAAGAATAATTTTAGAGCAACACAAGTCGCATCTGTGTAGCCAGTGCGTAAATGAAGCTCTTGATGCATCACTGAGACACAGCGCGCAGTCCTGTGGACGCTTTCAAAACTTAGCAGCACAAAGGGAAGATATTAGTGCATTGAGGATCTGTCCAGTATAATATTGAGTCTTTTCCCATTTAAAATTTCAGGTAGGCCTACTTTGTGTGTGTAGACCAAGTAATAACCCTCTCTATTCCAGTGTTGCGAATGCAATCTGCCAGACACAGCTGAACAAACTACACCAGCTAGACACAAACTAAATGCATTTCTCGACTGATTATTTATATTAACAGGAACAAATAGTCTTGGAGAAAGTTATTTGAGTTGTCATGAACGTGACACGCAGCTTGCGCTGAGCTGAACATGAAATTAACCACTTGAATTTTCATCTGTGCTTTAAATTAAACTACAGAATGGCTTCAGAACATTTGGTATATAGTAGGCCTATATGATAACTTTCCAGTGCCTTGTAATAGGCTATCTTCATGGCTTTTGTTGTCTCATATATTACACAGAATATAGCTCACACGCAAGATCGGATTTGGATCGGTACCAGCTGGCTGATACGCGATCCAGCAAAAATATGCGGTATCGAACCGATATCCAATCCAAGTATAGGGATCAGTGCATCCCTAGTGCTCAACATAATTAAGTACACCCCTCACAAATATCTCTTTTTAATTCATATTTTTAATAGGAAGCTATACAATATTATGTTTGTGCATATACAGTAGATTAGTCAGTATTGAAGCCAAATCTAGAGCTTATCTTACAAAATAACTCACGATAACAGTCCAAAAACTAGTACAGCCAAAAGTATATGTTATAGAAAAATATTAAATACAAATTTATAAAAGGAAAAATAGAGTTGACATTTTGTAGGGTGTAATTTGTTTTGTATTATTTTTCAGTTTCTAAATAAGTTTGGTGACTAAAATATTATTTTAATAAATATATCTGTTTAATAAATCTGTTTTGTTTAAATGCACTTAAATACATTGCTTATATTCACTGAGAAATGGATATAAATATTCATTTTCAAAATGGGGTGTACTTAATTATGCTAAGCACTGTATGTATTTCAACATTTAGGTAGTTTATGAGGACATGCACTGTGTCCTTGTAATTCAGGACACTCACAACAACAAAAAGCATAGTTAATGGGGTCTTTTGACATTCAAAATTTGTGACACTGTGTGTTTGGTTTTGGGGTACGGTGATAAAATAAGCATTTTTTACAGCATAAAAAAAATAATATGCCTGTCGAGAGTCCTTGTAAACCACTAATACCAATGTGTGTGTTAGCAAAAAGCATTGTGTGGCTTGCATTTATGGTAGTTTCTGGTGCAGAAATGTCATCCCATCCCCCTCTTTATGTCTGTTGTAATTATTTATTTATAGCCAGCCATCCAGACTTAAAACTGAGAATAATTTCTACTTGATCTAAATACCATGACAAAGGACAAAACTTGAAGTAATATTTGTAACAGATGAAGTCAGATTAGAGCGTCATGGTGGCACAGTGGGTAGCATGATCACCTCACAGCAAGTACAGTAGGTCGCTGGTTCGAGCCTCAGCTGGGTCAGTTGGCATTTCTGTGTGGAGTTTGCATGTTCTCCCCGTGTTTGTGTGGGTTTTCTCTGGGTGCTCCGGTTTCTCCCACAAGTCCAAGACATACGGTATAGGTGAATTGGGTAAGATAAATTGTCCATAGTGTATGAGTGTGTATGGATTGATTGGTTTCCCAGTGATAGGTTGCAGCTGAAAGGGCATCTGTTGCGTAAAACGTGCTGGATGAGTTAGCGGTTCATTCCACTGTGGTGACCCCAGATTAATAAAGGGACTAAGCCGAAAAGAAAATGAATGAATGAAGACAGATTATTGAGAGATTTAGAGCATTAAATAATTATTATATATCATATACACTATTATCTAAATGCAATTCCTTTGCATTTATTCTCCAATATTCTAAAGATGTAAAACTGAGCTGCTTTTTGTTTGGGATTCATTTTATAAATCATATGGGCCATTAAATGTCTGGTTTATCACATAGCCTAAAATAATAATAATAAAACAGAGCACACATTTCTATTATGTTTAGTAAAGATTAAAATGAAACAAATTTAATGTGTAAATAAATACTAAGTCTATATCTAATATGTAGAGACAAAAAAATTACATGCTGTCATATCAATAAGATTTGTTTGGTTTATGAAAAAACAAAATATAGACCTTTTCTGTAGGATAGGAAGCTTAAATGATTTCTGTGTTGATCTGGCTTTATAGAGAAAATACAGTTAAATAACTTTTATTGGGGACAAAGAAGCTGCTTGCATTAGCTGCATTGTTTAGCATAGTACTGTTATTTTCTCAGAAGTTGAAACACCTTGTTCTATAAGTTGTCCCAGGTTTGACCTCGCATACCCCATTCCTGCCATCAGATCAGGCAGTCTTGAATTATTAATGTTCAATAAAGTAGTACAGTGGGCCCCGAGGCACAGCCAGCGCTTTAATATTGTGAGTGTTCTTCTGTGGCATACATAATTAGAGGACGATTGAGGCACTTCATCATGCTTTACACCAAAACAGACCCGCCCCCTCAGTGACAGACTAACGGTTGTAAATTATTTATCTTATTGTTTTGGCCCTCAGCTAAAACGTTCATATTAACACAGTGACATAGATCGTTGTATGACGTCACTGGCATGCAGAATGTTCAAGAAATGTTTTTAGGTCATCATATTATTCTTTTTATTTAATGTTTTATCTTTAATTACCTTGCATTTATTTCAACATAATTATATGTTAGGATTTAATATGAATTACTATTTAATTTAAATTATTTTGTTATATAAATTACTAAAATATATTCAGAGACAAACTGCTAAATATTCTCCTTCATAAAAAAAATAAACAAATAAAAAACTATACTGTAAAGCACAAGCTCCTATTTACAAATGAACACCAGTTTCCATAGACTGCCTTTTTCTGAGCCGCTTTTTTGACGTTTTCACAAAGCTAACATTAGTCCTGTTGTGAATCTGCTGCTATGCTGACGTATAGGTGTTTGTAGCACTTTCGAATAAAGTGCTGGGTTACAATCTCATTTGAATATAAAACGACAGTTGCCAAAACGGCACATTTTGAATCAAAGCCTAAACAAGACAGCTTCAAAGAGTTATAAAAAGTGATTAGTTGTGTATTTTTAGCTGAAACTTCACATACACACTCCAGGGACATCAGTGACTTATTTTATATCTTGTAAAAAGAGGCATAATATGCACTGAAAAAAATTATTCAGAGATGATTGCTTGGATTTACTCAAATGTTTTACGTGGTACTTTTTTTTTGGAATTTATTTGTGTTGAATTTAAACAAACAAATTAAGTTGAACATTATTCAACTTAATTTGTTTAAATTCAACACAAATAAATTGTTTGCAACAGTTCTGCATGCAACACTTTTTTTCAGTGTGACTTCTGTAAAAGTGAGCTGTTATGTTGTATGTGTTTGTGGCATTTCAGATTAGTCCAGGGTGAGATGCAGAGCGTGTGAATAAGAGAATGACCATCTGCTGTCTCCATCCTCTCCTTCAGCAGACACATACGACACTTAAGCAGGGATTTCACACAGCTCTGCCTTAAGGCCCTTTACTCTTTATGTTCATCAAGAGACAGCTTGTCTTAGTCAAACCACAAGTTTAATCACCGTAAAGTAAACAATAAGCTGATCTCCGATTAGTGTCATTGGGTGTAATGGCCCTAAGTTCATGCATTCTCCATTTTTTGCATCTTAATATTGAATGCAGCGTTTGGTTCCTGTCAGATTTCTTGTCATTAGTATGCTTTTATTTGTTTTGCATATTTAAAGGTCCAGTGAATCTAAAATAATGTATTATAGATGTTAGTATCAGTATTTTTAGTACGGATATCTATAAGCTAGTGTGCTCCAAAACCTTGACAGCATTTTACATTTAGGAGATTAAGACTGAAATAAACGTCTAAAGATTATAGTTTGTCACTTCCACATAAATGGACCAATGGTTCAAATTCTCTTTATTTGATGTGCTTGAGCTTAACCACCCTCACTGGCAGAGCTGAGATAAAAACAAAATGCTAATGGCTGTTTTTAAAAAGGGAGGAGCTACTCTGTTTGAGTTGAAATTACGTAAAACATAGAATAAAAATGCACGGGACTTTTAAGTAAAATAAAACATGAATTAAATGCATAAATCTGAACAGTCTCTCTCTCACCCATCTTTAGTCTCTCTGCAAGACATCAACATGAGGAAGGCCTTCAAGAGCTCCACCATTCAGGATCAACAGGTGGTTTCCAGGAACTCAATCCCTAACCCTGTCCTGGAGCTTTACCACCGTGGAGACAAACCACCTCCTCTTAATATTCTCAGCCCATACAGGTAAGATGAGATCCACACCATCCTCAACTCGAAATATCTGTCAAATGACATTTAAAAGATAAACATATTGCTTAAAACAAAAGTAACAGCACCTCGTGTCCTGTACCCAGGCCCGGATTGGCTAATCGGGAGCACCGGGAGAATTCCCGGTGGGCTGGTCAGTTTTTTTGGCTGCAAGGGCCGGTGTCCCTAGCTGCTTGCACTCTCAGCAGTTGCACTCTTTTCTTTTATTTATTTATTTGACCATAGCCACACTATTTTTATTCATTATTTTGCCGCAGCCCCGCTCTTTTTATTTATTTTCTCGCAGCCCTGTGAGCAAAATGCAGCCCGCAGGTTAATGATGATGTAACTATCATTCCACCCCAAACAGCGGCACCTTAGTGAATATTAATTAATATTAATGAATGTTACACCTGCTCAATGAAAATCAAATAATTCACTACATTAATAAATCTAACTTAATCAGAAATCTAGTCTAGTGGTCAGCACGTTGCGCCGATCTGAGTTCGAACCTCATCAGAATAAATGTTTTTTTTTTTTTTTTTTTAGTGTTAAGACATATAATACTGTTTGGGCTACTTATGTAGGGGTACATATTTTGTGTGTGTGTGTGTGAGTGTGAGTGTGAGTGTGTGAGTGAGTGTGTGAGTGAGTGTGTGTGTGAGTGAGTGAGTGAGTGTGTGAGTGTGTGAGTGTGTGAGTGTGTGAGTGAGTGAGTGAGTGAGTGAGTGAGTGAGTGAGTGAGTGAGTGAGTGAGTGAGTGAGTGAGTGAGTGAGTGAGTGAGTGAGTGAGTGAGTGACGCTGACGACCGTTACAAAGGACTGGATATCTATAAAGAATTAATGTTCTCATATTTATCAAAAACATTTGAAGTTCTAAAGCAGCTGTGTCCTTGAAAAAGACGTGTTAGTGTCATTAGAAACTGAATTGGAAATAACGTTATTTTAATAGAGTCAGTCATTGACTGAGGTGGGCCGGTCTAAGGCTTGAAATTCCATAGCTAAAAAGGAGTCCCACTCCGGCCCTGCCTGTACCAACCTCTCTAGCATCATACAGTAACAGACGTTTAGCAGAATAGTATCTTTTTTTTTTACAACAAGCTCATTTAAAAGCTAGTAATGTTGCTGTGTTTAGGTGCACAAAATGTTTATTAGGAGCCAAGAATGAGTCTTTACTGAGAGGTGTGAGATGAAACATATTGCTCCATTATATCTATATAATATATATTATATATAACTGCACCTGACTATAAGTTATACCTGTCAAATTCCATTGATGATATACATAGGCGAGCAGTTTGAAAATGATTATTATTAGCATTAGGGGTATTATATATATTGACTATAATGGGCAGTCTAGGTTTTTCAATAGTTTGTGTACTACTTGGCTTAGTGAACCAAATTTATATATTTAAGTACATATAATTTACTAATCAACAATCTTTGTTTTCAATGCTTTTATTGACAATGATTGGATTCTGACCTACAGTAACCTGTGGTGTGATATTCAACTGACATGATTTTCAGAGACATCCTATATTTAATATAAAACATGATTTTATGTCATCATAAATGATATATATATTAATGTATTATTTCTTCTCGGCCATCTTATTTTTAAAGATCAGTGCAAACTATTTTTCACTCCTTTCTCGCTCACACTCTAGGCATGAGCCGGTATAAGATTCTGACAATATTATAACCTTGGATAAAAATATCACGGTATTGTGATTACTGCTTTAAAATATGTTCCTTTTAAATGTCTGGATAAAAAAAATAAAAAATTCCCCATTGAATGAAATACATTTCATTTTAAGAAATATTAAAAATATTTCAGAACAGTAGCTTTTGATGTGTATGGTCCTTTTCTGCTGGAGATACTGTTGCATTAATAAACTAAATAAAATAGTTGTAAAAAAAAACATGTAAATCAAAAACTTAAATATACCGTAGGAAAGGGGATAAACCTTGAAAGCGGTTATCATCTCATGCCTACCACACACAAATCTTGTTTTAGTGTCTTTTATTTCTTGTTACTTAACAACCAATTCTTTTACTGTATATTTTACATTAAGTACTTTTTTAGTTTTTGGTATTTATGATTTATAGTTTTATGTTTACACAAAATTTATGTTTGTGTTATAGTTAGTTATTTCAATAGATACAGTATATAAAAAAGAAGCTGAAAACTAGTTGCAGGTGGGAAATGCATTATGACTATACAAATACTCAAAAGAAGCATTTTGTTTTGCTTGTTTGATTGTAATTGCATACGTTTTGTTTTTTTTTTTAAGGCAGTATATTTCTAATAATAAAGAAAAATAATTTTATTTAGGGCAGGGAGCGATGCAGTGGTGCAGTATGTAGTGCTGTCGCCTCACAGCAAGAAGTTTGCTGGTTCGAGCCTCGGCTGGGTTAGTTGGCGTTTCTGTGTGGAGTTTGCATGTTCTCCTCGTGTTCGCGTGGGTTTCCTCTGGGTGCTCCAGTTTCCCCCACAGTCTAAAGAAATGCAGTACAGTTGAATTTGGTAAGCTAAATTGTCCATTGTATTTGTGTGTGGATGTTTCCCAGAGATGGGTTGCAGCTGGAAGGGCAACCGCTGCATAAAACCTGTGCTGGATAAGTTGCCGGTTTATTCCGCTGTGGTGACCCCAGATTAATAAAGGGACTAAGCCTAAAAAAATGAATGAATGAATGAATTCGGGGCAGAACAGAACGTTTTAATTAACTTAAAAAAGAAGACACATATGCCTTTTATTCACAAATTCTCTACATTTCAAATTAGCATATATCAATGTGGGTTTTTTTCTGTAAGCAAGTAAACAAGATGATTTTCCACATAATTTAGAAGCAAAAACTCCAGGCTGTAAGATCCAGTTCTCGAAGGTCTTGTGAACAAATATTGTGTTTTTTTTTCAGTAACCATGGATAAACATTTCTTTCTCAAAAACCCAATCTTGTACATGCATGTTGCTAATGTGTTATTGTAGCCCAGTGTATGCTGTCTACAGTGGTATTAGACTTTAGCCACTTATGTTCATAAGCAAGTGAAAAAAGCACAAATATCAGTGCACATCAGAACCTCTCCAGGCCTCCCACAACACCCGCAGACCCCAAAGGGTTTAAGCAAATCGATAAGTTAGAGATGAAGATATTTAGATTGCATGTTGTCTTTTCTGTTTTCCCTCCTTCAAATGGTCATCATAAACCAACTTAAGTCTGAACTCTCTTTATGTGTATCTCTTGTGTTTTGTGACAAAATGATAGATCACTTGCTTGCATTCACTCTCCTAAAACCCTAAACTCAATTTGTTACCAGAACTTGTCAACAGATTGACCCATTTTCTACCGCAACACTTCAACACAACTTCAGACACATTTGTAGCCACCAAACTCTCTCTTTCTTTCTACAGAGATGACAAGAAGGACGCGCTGAAGTTCTACACTGACCCCTCCTACTTCTTCATCCTCTGGAGAGAGAAAATGCTGCAAGCCACAGAGGACAAACGAAAAGAAAAGAGAAGACAGAAGGTGTGTGTTTCAAATTTCTACACTGTTCTTTCCACAGTCATATACCGCAAATGCAGAGATGTATAGTAACGAAGTAGAACTACTTCACTACTGTACTTAAGTACTAAAAGGCAGTATCTGTACTTTACTGGAGTATTATTTTTTTGTCCTACTTCCACTTTTACTTAAGTACATATTTTCCATGAGTTTAATACTTTTACTCCGATAGATTTTTTATGTGCTGCATCGTTACTCGTTACTAGGGGTGTCAAAATGATTGATATCAGTTCATTAATAGACCATAACCGGTTATTACGTGATGACGTCATTTATCTCCTATGCGCGATGCCGCAATACTATGGCGAAGGACGGAAGCGCGAGGGCGAGGCGGCACAGCATATCAGCCGCTAGTTTACTATTAGGGAGAATCTGCCTATCTCTCGCTCTCTCACTTTGGACATTTGACCCGCTGGCCAGTTTGTAAGGTAACTTTTCCCCTCTTCTTAGCTGTTAAAGCTGTGGATCCAGACATGAGCATGCCTAATGTGCAAGTTTTCTCCACTGTGTCTTATTACCTGTGAAAAATCACGTATTTTCCCCACAATGGGTGAACAGCGCTTATATTTCTAAAGCCCTTTCTGTTGAGGACAATAACCAATCATAGCCGTGTAAGACCCGCCTGTCAGCGCTCTAAAAGCAGGCGGGATAATATTGACATGAGTTTATTAGCTGTAAATGCTTGTGCTGTCTTCTGTGCATGAGTTTTGTTTGATACATCCAGAAAGAGTGTTTTCTTTGAGCAGGTCAAATTGAGGGCACAGTTCGTATATCTGACTGCTGTATTAAAGGACAAAATTGTATTACAAAAAACCCTTTAACTGTCACACCAAGACAAAAGCAATAGAATTTTTTTGATTGCATTTCTTAACTCCTAATGTCGCTAGTTAACACAATCAGTGCATTTTTATTCAACACATCACATTATTTCTAAAATATCAGCCTCTACCAAATGGTTGAGATGCTGGTTTATGGTAAATGTACCAGAATTAATAAATATACTACAGAAAATATGAACTGTAAGACCAATTTAATTAAAAACATAATAAAAATAAATAAAAATTATTACTAAATCATAGCCATAAGCCATACAATATTTCAGATTTTCATTTAACACAGTAATATGCACGTTTTCCTGTTTTTTTTTTTAAATAAAATCTAAATCAAGTGAATGAGTGAAGCAGGATTTAGTTTGCTTGTTTAGTTTAGTTTCACGAGTGCTTCCAGAAGACAGAACTCCTGTTTATTGTGGTATTAACCAATCAAACTTCAAAAGTCCCAAAGTGTGTGTCTTTGTGTGTGTGTGAGTGAGAGAAAATAATGTGTGCGTAAGAGAGAACAAAAGTGTGTGCATCTGTGTGTGTGTGTGTGTGTGTGTGTGTGTGTGTGTGTGTGTGTAAGAGAGAGAGAGTGTAAAAACAATTGCAACCTATGTAATGTCCCCACAATTCACAAAAATGTGTGTGTGAGAGAGAGATAGAGAGAGAACTGTGTGTGTGAGAGTGTATGAATGTGTGAGAGTGGGGAGAGAGTGTACATTTAGGTGTGTGCAGGGCAGTGTGTGTGTGTGTGTGTGTGTGTGTGTGTGTGTGAGAGAGAGAGAGAGAGAGAGAGAGTGTACATGTGAGTGAACATGCTGAATTATCTCATCAGTGAAGGCATTTTCTGGTAAAAGGGCCTGACGATGTGAGTTCCTGTACCATAGAAACTATTTACACTGGAAAACAGTATCATAAACCATGTTTCTTTTCGTTCTGCTAAATCAAGTACCCCAAAAAAGATATTTAAAATAAACAAAATAATTAGTGTATTAATAACTACATTACACAATACTTGTACTTTTACTTTCAGTACTTGAGTAGTAAATTTTGAAATAAACTACTTGCAATACTTAAGTACAAAAAATGTTGAATACTTTTGTACTTCCACTTAAGTATGGTGCTTAAAGAGCACTTCTACTTCTACTCAAGTCAATTTTTGATAAAGCACTTGTACTTTTACTTAAGTATGGGTCTCTAGTACTTTATACATCTCTGCGCAAATGTAACTGTACCATTAACGTTGCTGCAAATGTTACTAGCATGATTATTATTGATCTTCTCGATGAGTGCTAGAACATCCCATCGCTTCCATAACACCAGCAGGCCTCCAGTAAAACCGATTTAGGGCCTCTCTACAAACCAGAAGACTATATTCACATGCGAGAAGAGAGCAGAAAGAGACACGTCAGTGGACATGTCTTTAAAGGTTTGCATGAATAAGAGCTCTAACTCTCCCAGACTCTACCTTCTCTCCAGACCAGCGGCTCAGGCCAGACTCACTCAGACCAGACTAAGTCCCACTCCAGGCAGGCCCTTCTCAGAAGCCCCCTCCTGTCCTCCGTAAGACACCTGTATTTCTGTCAGTCCTTCTGTCTCCTCATCCGTCAATCCCTCACTATGCTGACTCCTGTTTCTGCATTCACTTTCTCTCCCGACAGTCTCTTCACTAGCTTTTCTACTGAGTGTGTGCATGTGTATGTTTAATGCATTGCCTGAATGATCTAGTAAACTTTCTTCGCAGCACTTTTCAGTGACTGATGCGGACACTTCAATCTCTGTGTGTATGTGTGTGTGACTTTACTCTTTTAGCTTCTCCCTTTCACCAAACGTGATTTTGTGATGAAACCCTGGGCTTTCTGCAACTGTGGGGTTTTTTTTCTGTTCGGCTCTCATTTTATTTGTCTTTCTCTCACTTAGGAGCAGCAGAAACAGGTGGAGGATCCCAGCCGTGAGGTGAAGAAGGTTCGCAAGGCTCGCAATCGTAGACAAGAGTGGAACGTAATGGCGTATGATAAGGAGTTTCGCCCAGATGCCCGCTTCACGCCTTCTCCATACCACGGCATGTCATCTGAGGGCTCACTGTCACCAGACAACAGGTTGCTGGCCGCATTTTATTTTGACTTTTGGAAATAGATGAGCATTAAAGCAAGCTGCTGTTTAGAAAAGCTCGCTACTGCCATCTGTTGACACTTTGAACTACCAACATCTGCATTCAAATTGACATACAGTACAAGAACACTCAGCCTATCTACTGTGCCTTATTTTATGCTGTTTTTTGTCACAAATGGACGTGTTATTGTTTCACAATTACGGTAGTAAGACACATATTTATGTCATAGATACATGACGAGAAAGATTTTCCACAAAAACATACACATACATAAGTTTAGGAAAGGTTTAGTGTGTTTGCTTTCATTCTGTGCAATTCACTGTAAATCAGTTTAATTAAAACAATTAATTAACTTTAAGTGACATTTCTTTTAGGGATGCTTGTTTCAGTTCATTTTGCCAACTGACAACCATCGCTTGTTAACTGAATATTAACCCTTAACTGGTCAGATCAATATTAAATTCTATGATATTATGATATATGATATTATTGATCGATCTATCTATCTATCTATCTATCTATCTATCTATCTATCTATCTATCTGTCTGTCTGTCTGTCTGTCTGTCTGTCTGTCTGTCTGTCTGTCTGTCTGTCATCTGGAATATACTGAACACTACCTTTATAAAGTTTTAGGTCAATAAGACCTTAAAGTAGTTTTTATTCAGCAAAGGCACTTTAAAATGATGAAAAAATGTATGCAAACAAATTCAGTTGTTCAAAGGTAAGACTAAAGATGTAATTTTCAAGCTCAATCTTCCATAAAGATATTTTTCATTTCTGTCTTCATTTTTTTTTTTTTTAAACATTTTTTTTTTACCTCTTTCTCTTTTTTGTTTTAAATGATCAGGTCAGTTGCGTCAGACATGGGTGAGCACTCTTACCCAGGTAGCCCGAGTCACCCAGCTCAGCAGATGGCAGTGAGCAGCGCTTATTCTGCTGCCGATGGCAAAGAACACCTCATGGCTCCCTCTCATGTCCAAACTCAGTCTCTGGACCGTGGCTACCGGCCTGCCCCTTCCTCCGCTGCTCCACCTGGAAGACAGACTATTGGCCGAGTTCAGACCTCCCATGGACAGCCAATCACAGACCCTGCTCTCAATGGGCCACGTCCACTGCAGACTAAAGACTACAGGTCTGGTCATTTGAACACCTATTAAAGGGATAGTTTACCCAAAAATGAAAATGTACTCACCCATTATTAGCTTCTCTTTTCAGTTTATTACAAGATATTTTGAAAATGGTAGCATTGACATCCATAGTAGGAAAAACAATACAATGGAAATCATTGGCTACGATTCTTCAAAATATCTTCTTCTGTGTTTAACAGAAAAGAGAAACTCAAACACATTTTAAAGTTTGAGTATATAATGACAGAATTTTCTTTTTGAGTGAACTGTTCTTTTGAGTATTTCCCTGTTTTCAGTATTCAGTATGTCTTGTGTAAATATCTAATAGAAAGTTTCAAAAGCATAGTTTCCCATAAAGGTCGAGTTGAACCTTTATAATTTTAATTGTTTACATGAATTTCTAAGGTTTAATTACAAAATTATATATAACCGTTCAGTGAACATAAAGAATATTGCATTTGATTAATGATTTAATAGTTTTATAAGAGTAGAATCCTATATATAAATATGTAAATTTTCCTATAAATATATAAATCCTATAAAAAAATTTATTAATATATTTTTAATCAGATTATTTTTATTTTTTCATGTCTGTTACTCTGAATGATGAAATCTCTGAAACTTTATCTTGAACCACCATGAGAGGTTTCGTAATGCTGGTTTAAATACTCGTTTCATTTCCTTACATATAATCTGGAAAATGTACAAAACGTGTATAGGATTTTGTTTAAAATTAAACTACTTACATGGTTCTAGCCAAGCACCCACAACAAAACTCAAGCCCTTTTTTACTCTACAGCATTTAAAGACACACAATTCCTCATGTTGATACTGCTCCTTCAATAGACATTTAACTGACTATAAGAAATTTACACTAATCCTAACCCCAACCTTACAGTCTACTTATAATTTAATGAGATTTAGTTGCAATGTAACTTAAATTCAACAAACTGACCATCAAAATAAAGTGTGAGCAGTGATATTTGTGTTTAATTATTGTATTTAGTAATTTATTGAATATATATATATATATATATATATATATATATATATATATATATATATATATATATATATATATATATATTATTATTTTTTTTTAAATAGATAAATATTCATTTTAATGTGTGACTATAATATTATATTATTTGCTCAAATTTTGAGTGAACTTTTGTAGATTTTCAGATTTAGTTAATTCTAGATTATTTTAGCAATTTGGTTGTGTTATATATCATGTATTATATTATAACATGTATATTTTTTAACTAAATGTTTTTTTTTTCATTTTTTAGTCATATTAGTTCTTAAATTTCTTTCATTTCAGTTTGTTGCTAGTTTTATTGTATCGTAATATTCAGTTGATTTTATTTTCATTTAGATTTTTTTTTATGGTTTAATTTAAACCTTTTGTTAATGTTAGTTTGTTTTTTGTTATGTTGTTAGTTTTTCTAACTTGTGTCTATAGTTTGTTGTATTTTTGCTTTATTCAGGTTTATTGCCAGAGTTTATACTCAGAGTTTATAATTGTCTTTTTTATTTTAGTTAGGGTTTTTATTAGATTTACACTACCGGTCAAAAGTTTGGGGTCAGTAGGATTTTAAAAATGTTTTAAAATAAGCTTCTCCTGCTCACAAAGGTTGCATTTATTCCATCAAAAATTGTGAAATGTTATTGCACTATAAAATAACTGTTCAGACCTAGTTTATGATTTAATTCAATAATTTGTTCCAGTGATTTTAAAGATGAATTTTCAGCTTTATTACTTTATTACTAATATTAATTATTATTATTATTATTATTATTATTAATGGTAAAAGTAATAAAAGCAACAATGATTGGAGTAATAATGTATTTTTAAACTACATACAATAGGAAAGCACTTATTTAACATTTTAATAAATATTTAACTTTTTTTTATTATTTATTAAATGCTGCCTTGATAAACATAAAAAAAAACTAACCCAAAACTTTGCACCAGTAGTGCATTTACCAATGCCAAACCTTGGAGCTTATCTCATAAGTTAGAAGTTTGATTATTTCCTCCATTTCTCCATTTGTGTTTTCAGTGGTCAGCAGTCTCAGCATCGGGAGTATTTTGTTCCTCCAGCTCCTCCTCCACCACCTCCACTCATTCCCTCAGCCCAGACTGCCTTTGACAGTCCCACAGGCCCCTCCTCTGCTCCGGCCAGTGCCATGCCTTCTCTGTCCCAGACCTATAGCCAGTCTCCTCCGACTCCTGCTCTCCCTGCTTCCTATACCCCTTCCCCAACCCATCCTCCTCCTGCAGCCCCTCCACCACCTCCACCCGGGCCACCCACACACCCTCACCCGCACCCCATGCCAGCTGCCTCTGTGGAAGCACCGGTTGTGCCCAGGAAGGGTCAGGTCCCTCTTATCCCGATGAGCGACGCTCGCAGCGACCTGCTGGCGGCCATCAGACGAGGTCAGAGAAAGACACATAGAAAGTCGGATTTGAGTGTTGGAATAGATCGAAAGAATAATGTGCCTTTTATTGTTGTTTCATGATTATGATAATGAGAATTGGTCACAAGGTAAGGTAAACATGTTATTTTATAATTGACCATTTGTATATAATATAATATAATATAATATAATATAATATAATATAATATAATATAATATAATATAATATAATATAATATAATATAATATAATATAATAACCAGTGAAGGGTTGCAGCTGGAAAGGCATCCGCTTTGTAAAACATATGCTGGAATAGTGGGCGGTTCATTCCACTGTGGCGACCACAGATAAATAAAGGGACTAAGACGAAAAGAAAATGAATTAATAAATGATATAATATAACATAACATAAAATAATTTGGCATCACGGTGGCGCAGTGGGTAGTACAATTGCCTCACAGCAAGAAGGACGCTGGTTCAAGCCCTGACTGGGTTCTCCTTGGGTTCATGTGGATTTCCTCCGCATGCTCTGGTGTCCCCCACAGTCCAAAGACGTGTGGTATAGGTGTATTGGGTAAAGCTAAATTCTCCCGTTGTGTATGTGTGTGCATGAGTGTGTATGGATGTTTCCCAATGACGGGTTGCAGCTGGAAGGGCATCTGCTACGTAAAACATATGCTGGATAACTTGGTGGTTCATTTTGCAGTGGCGACTCCAGATCAATAAAGGGACTAAGCCGAAAAGAAAATGAATGAATGAATAATATAATATAGCCACATGTTATTGATTTGTCCAAAAATGTGGCTATTCAGTTGTCTCCCTTCAATCATATTTTGCGGTTTAAAAAACTATAAGTCACTAGAAATCCAAAAGTTTCCTATTGGAAACACAATTACAATTCCCTTTTTAGTGTATTTTTTACAGCAAAATAAATAGAAACTCTGTTAACAATAATAGGATGTTTCGATCAATGTGTTGTTGCAGCTCTGTGGATAAACTTGAATCGTAAAACCAATAAAGACATTTATAAACAAGATTTCTATGGTAACCTTGAGCACGTAAAACAAACAAATTGTCCTTTCTTCATTTAGGGTCTTATATTTGTTTAAACCTGTATTATTTAAAGTAGTAATCTCAATGGCTCTTTAAAACAAATATCTAAAAAAATATCAGAAATGGCTCTTTGCTGAAAAAAAGGTTCCCGACTACTGATATAGTGCTTTCAATCATATGTGTGGGTTTTTTTCTAATGAATTGATACTTATATTTAGCAAAGGTGCATTTAGATTGACCAAAGAATCTTATGAGGGTATAAAATATATCTATTTAAACTAAATGGTGTTTCCTTTAATGTTTATTTATAATGAATCCTGAAAAAGCACAACTGGTTTTTCATTTTATAATGGGGAGACTTTTTTTCTTGAGTATGTTATAGTATATATTAAAGTTTATGCAGTGCTCAACATAAATGAGTACATTTTGAAAATGAATAGTTGTATCCATTTCTCAGTGAATATAACCAATATTAGTTGGTGAATTTAAAGAAAACTGTTTCATTAATCAGATATATTCATTGAAATTAGACATTGATTACCTAAAGCCTTTAGAAATAAAAATATAATAGATTTATGTTCAAACAAGCTAAAAATCGAAACAATCAAAAAAAAATATTGCTTAAAAGGGCTAATAATTTTGATCTCACAATGGTTTTAAAAAAAATTAAAAACTGCTTTTATTCTAGCCGAAATAAAACAAATAAGACTTTCTCCAGAAGAAAAAATATTATCAGACATACTGTGAAAATGTATGTGCTTGTTTAACATAATTTGGGAAATATATTTTTTTAAACAGGGGAAAAAATGCAAAAGGGGGCTAATAATTCTGACTTCAACTGTATATATATATATATATATATATATATATATATATATATATATATATATATATATATATATATATATATATACACATAGATAGATAGATAGATAGATAGATAGATAGATAGATAGATAGATAGATAGATAGATAGATAGATAGATAGATAGATAGGGAGGGAGGGATGGATAGTTTTGGCTTTGGTACTAATTAATCAAAGGTACAGTATATGCACAAATATATTATTTTACAGAGTCCTATACAAAATAATAATGTAAAAAGCGAGATCTGTGAGAGGTGTATGCATTTATGCTGAGCACTGTATGGTCTTTATTTATTTATTAAATCCAATCCATTGTTCCATTTTCAGCAAAATAAAATATACCTATTCTCTTAAAAAAAAGACTGCTCCTAAATGTTTAACATGTATGAAGGTGGACATTTAATTTTCAGGTCCATGCTTAAAAATAATTTACTGGTCATAAATACAATTTAGTACCATAAGATCACACTGCTAAACTAAAATATTGTAGATTCATTTCATATGAAAAATAATCAGGAAACTTTAAATCTCTGGTTCTCACATTCCTGTATTTTTGTTCCTGACAGGGATCCAGCTGCGTAAAGTGCAGGAACAGAGGGAACAGGAAGCGAAAAAGGAGCCAGTTGGAAATGACGTGGCCACTATATTATCACGTCGCATCGCGGTGGAGTACAGCGAATCTGATGAAGACTCTGAGCTGGACGAAAACGAATGGTCCGACTGAGACAACTAAAAACAGCATAGAGGAATAAAAAAAAAGAAGTAAGCGTTATACTGTAGGTTTCAGAGAACACAATTATCACAACTAATGTAGCATGCCGATGTCTGTCTGCACTAATAAAATATGGGGGGAAAAGGGCTGCGTAACCACAAACTTTCCCATTTTAGATCATACGTCTAAAATGGAAGCCTTGACAGTGAAGTTTAATGAGAGTTTTGACCCCATTGAACTACGTCTGTTAGAGATGGGCTCGTGTGCGCAGCTGAGACTATTCATCACTTTCTCACAGTGTGACGATCCTACCATCTGTCCTCTCTCAATAACCTTACAACACGACCTTATAATTATATGACCAGTCAGCTGGATGATCATGCAATGCCAATTTTAGTCAGAAACATATTTGAGGCAGATGTACTATACATTTTTTTATGTTCAAGACTACCGTTTTGACCTCTGGAATGCATGTTGTACCAAGCATCAAGCTGATTGTTGAAATTAAAATCGCTATAGCAATATTTCTGAGCGATTTAATAAGGCAGAGCACAAATTCACAGCTGATGTTTAGTTAGAATTTTGTCTAATGAAGTTATTCATGTTTATGTTAGTAAGATCCCAGCTGATTAAGGGAACGCTTTACCTGCTTTTGCAAATAGGCTAATTTTACAACTCGCCTAGAGTTATGTTTTAACCTTTTTAAATCCGTTCATCTGATCTCTGGGTGTATTGGGAGCAATTTTAGCTTAGCATAGATCATTGGATCGAATTAGACCCTTAGCATCTCACTCAAGAATGTTTTGATAATTTTTATTTTTAAAGCTTGACACTTCTGTACTTACATTGCATACTAGGCCAATATGACTAGAAACTATACTCTCTCAATCTCCATAATATCATTTCGCTCAAAGTCCCTTTAAGGCAAGTCATTTCACTTAGCAACCATCTTTAAAATGCCTTTCGAGCAGTATGCTTAGGCATGCTGTCTGAATGGGGAAACATCAAATTCTCCAAAAACTGTTAGCCAAGTTTATGATTACATTTACATATTTGGAATCAACAATAAAATAAAACAACAACTGTCTCGTGTCTGTTTCGTTTTTAAACGTTCAAATCAAACAAAATCAACATATTTTTAAGGATGCGCAAGCTAATGTGCACTCGAAACAAGATCACGACACCAACCTCCTTCATGACCGTTCTACACATCATCATCCTCATAATTAATGCTTCGCATGATAGTGCTGCTCTTCTGAAGTAATCTACAACTTGGTCTTGACAGCGAATCTCCTCCTGAAATGACAGCGACTCTTTGTTTACAAGTTTGTGGGCGTTTAAATAATTGCTGTCATGTGACGTGAGTTTGACAGGACAGACTGTACCTCGCGTTCGTTTCATACAGATAACAAAACCAGAAAACTTTTATTATCAAGTGCACTTGGTTTATATAAAAATACAGGTTTCAAGCTATATCTGGATATATTTCTTGTGTCTGTGAAGCAAGTATTCGCTTAGATTCCAGTCTGTTTGTTGACCAACAAACTGTCAAAAACGCAAACGTTTGTTGCGAGCTTCCCATGGAGAAATGTCAGTCTATAGCGATCGATGATTGGCTCCTGTACTAGTAGGCGGGGCTCCATTTGCCATATTGACCGTTAGACTTTTCCCTATTCAAAACTATACGTGTGACATCACTAGTCTTTATTGTGCCTGCTGCAGTCATAGTACAACTGCAAAGGTCCGAGATTATTAAGTCAGAATAAGTATAGTTCCTATTAATAGTCATTTTCGTTTTCTGTCTGTCTTAGTACACAATCCTAACTACAAAAGAGTCCACATAAAAACTACAAAAAGTGTTATAAAATTATCAAAACTCTTTGGTCATTATAGATTGAGATGCTAATGGTCTAATCCAGTGATTCTCAACCATGTTCGTGGAGGACCACCAGCACTGCATGTTTTGGATCTCTCCTTTGTCTGTCACACCCATCACAGGTCTTTCAGTCTCTGCTAATGAGCAGATGATCTGATTCAGGTGTGTTTGGTTAAGGTGACATGGAAAATGTGCAGAGCTGGTGGTCCCCTAAGAACATGGTTGAGAAACACTGGTCTAATCTGATTCAGTGATCTATGCTAAGCTAAGCTAAAAATGCTGCAAATATCAAAAATGGTAAAACTCTAGGGGAGTTGTAAAATGTGTTTCTTTAAACAACACAGGTGGACAATCTGAATCAAAAAATGAGTTTCTCTAAATATTTTAATTCTGTTCTGTATTTATATTGGGAGTATCTATTTTCTGGATCTAAAGAAAGATGGGAAGCTTTACATACATTATCTGAGATGCCATTTCCCCCAAATGTAATTAATTGAGAATTATTTAACCTGTTTGGATTGAAACTAGTTTTATGGCTTCGTTTGCTTTTTTCCTGGCTTCAAGTCAAGATTTTAAAGGACTTTATTGCTACATTGGTGTATTGTGAATCCACCAGTATTTTAAAGTCACAAATTGTGATTGCTGCTACTCGTCTGCAATTACTGGGAAATGCAACTGCAAATGACCTTAGACAGCAGCAGAACTGGCTCTTCTTCATCTATAGGCTCATTAATGCTTTGTTTTGAGGTTCAAGTGGTGCTGTGTTAGTAGTTATGGATTGTATCTTTAACCGTGTCAGGATTTCACTCTTTCCTTTTTTTCAAGGATTGGGAAACAAAAGAAACTTTTTTATTTTCTGTGTATTTTTGATTAGAAAAAGTGGCAGTCTGTCCGCTAAAGCATCAAATCATTCACTTGTCAGTCTCACTGTCGCCGCAGTGAACATCACTGCATTTCAAGCAGACCACAATGAAGATCGTTTGACCAGGTAATCCATAAACACAAACAGAAATGAACCGTGTCTTCTATAATGAATCAGCAGCTGGTTTGGAGTCATTTTGGGATTTTAGTTCCATTTGCTAGCGTTTTTATTTTGAATCATGTCGCATTTGCAATGCTAAATATGCTAATTTGTACAGAATAAGAGCACTTGAGTATTCCCGCTATTATTTTCTATTTATTTGCTTAAATGTGTCACTCACTGCACAAAGAGGGAGGCTAGTTTCAATGCTCCCGAATTAACAGCTTAACAGTCATGAGCTGTGTCGTTTAGCCTGTGTTTTGTATGTAAAGAATGAAGTCCTTTGTGTTTTAAACAATGTGATGTATAGAACTTTGTTAAAATGGCAGAACTTTGGTTTCTATAGATAAGAAACAGTATGAGAATCGGTGTAACAAAAAGAATTAATATATTGTAGGCAAATGCTGCATGCATGTACTGACTGCCATTAAAGTGCTTCTTAAAACAATCCTCGGCGTGGTTTCATTGAGTTTCATTTAATGGGTTAACTTGGATGATCTGTGCTTCTTAAAATGTATTCATATATTCTAATTCTGTTAATAATGATACATTTTATGTTGTTTAAAATTATTAAAAAACTATTTACTGGATAAAAGCTGATGGGTTGAGGAATAAAATGTATTACATTTACAGTTGTTTAGTGTTTGGCTGTAAGGCGGCGCGAACGGGTGGCTCAGTGGTTGGCACTGTCGCCTCACAGCAAAAAGGTCGCTGGTTTGAGTCCTGGGTGGGCCAGTTGCCATCTCTGTGTGGAGTTTGCATGTTCTCCCTGTGTTCGTGTGAGTTTTCTCTTTCCTCCGAGTGCTCTGGTTTCTCCTACAGTCCAGAGACATGTGCTATTGGTGAATCGGTAAGCGAAATTGGTCGTAGTGTATGAGTTTGTGTGTATGAATGCAAGACACATGGGCATCCAGTGTGTAAAGCATGTGCCAGAATAGTGGGCGGTTCATTCCGCTGTGGCAACCCCTGATAAATTAGGGACTAAGCTGAAGGAAAATTAATGAATGCCTTTTTGGCTGCACTGTGATCCCTATATACTGTATAAGAAAAAACATCCCATTTAGTTGAAGTTTTGTTGCTTGTTTAAATGTATTATCTTTCTATTCCTATATGTTGGGTGACCAAACTCCTATTTTAAATGGATATAACTGTTTTATAAAACAGTTCAAAATGCACCAAAATATATTCGCTATATATGTTGTGTTATTTATTTAGCTCCAAACATGTTGTAGAGTACAGGGAGGAAATATTTGGGTTTGCACACCCTGATTTGTAATGTGGTCAGGTATGGATTATTTTCTAATAATTCAATGGAACATGGTCAGTTATTCTGCTTACACCATGTTTACCACACCTAATGAAATAGTTTAGACATTGTATATCAAGACTTTTGTCAGGTTGTTGTCCTCAAACAGCTCCCGTCTTTAGTACTAGTTTGTTACACGTTCATCAGTAGTAGTTATACAAAACTGCAATGTGATTAGACAAGCCTGGAACTGCTTAAGCTGTGTGTTTATCTGAAAATAGTCACACAGCTTACAATGTTCTTCTGCTAGTTGTATAGCACTGATCTAAAAGGTAAATTCTGTTTTCTCATCAGAACTAATGTCAAATCCCTGAGTATTTCAGTAGTATCTGGATGCAGCCTTTATGATGCAAGCTAAGATTGCATCACTCATCACACAATGCACTCAATGGAGTGAGTGATGAGTAGGGTTAGGGATGGGGTTAGGTGAGCGCATTAAAAAGCAATTGATGCAGCTCAGATCGCACTGCACCAGGTCTGCATCCAGACCCCTCGAGTATTAAGTTTTTTCTTGTAATAACTTTTCTTATTTTTTCCTCTAACCTCTTGTTTACTTCATCTGTTTGACAGCACACATGCTGCAAATCCTCACTACACAAACAAAAATGGTTTAAAACGCACTGCATTTTCTCACAGCGCAAACAAATCAATAAAACATGCTGCAGTTTCTCAAAACGCAAACATTTTATGAAAACGCTCTGCATATTTTCACAACACTTTAAAACAGCATAGAACACAAATGGTTTCAAGGGGACCCTAAAATGTGACGGACCCAGCTATTTAGGTTATGGTTATTTATGCTAATAAAATACATAAGACAAGGAAATCAGGATGTTAAAATAAACAAACCAAAAACTCACCTTTTCTAAGGACTTCACTTAGCAATAGTCACGACCCAACAGCATCCATCACGTTTTTGGAGTCACTTAAAACATTTGTGTTGTGTTTCGTGCTATTTGAAGGTGTAAGAAAATGCAGCGCGCTTTAGTTTGTTTTGTTTTTATTTGCCGACGTTTTTCGTAATTGTACGTGTTATCTTGAATTACAGCATGTAAAGCTTTCTCGACCATCGTACTTGTTTACGTATGTGCACTGAGGTTTATTATTTGACCTGTTATTTGGTATATTGGTGCTATTACTGAAATGGAAATCCACTCCAGTAATGATTATGAAATATTATGTTTTTAGACAAGTTTGATCTTAATACAGGGTATCCGCTGTCTTAAAAGGTTTTCAAAAATTACATTTTAATATTGAACCACCACTGAAATACTGTTTTGTAGGTTTTAAATCATTTTAAACATGTCTTAATTGTCCTATGTCCATGTAAAGCTACTCAATCAAGTTAACATCCATCCAATTACTAACTTTCCAACTGAGTTAAAGTTTTAACAAAAGTTTATTAATTAACTTTTATGTGGTTTAATTATCTTCCTTACAATGACATTTGTTTTTAAGGTTATTTAAGGTTTTAACTGGGCCATTAGGAAAAAAATCCTTCGTGCTTAGCCTTGTGTAAGTCTGAAATTTCACTGTTAGTGTTTTTAAAAAGGTCTTAATCTCACAGCCTGTCCATTCTTTCCTAAAACTCTATTGAGTTATCAATATCATTTAGTAGCCCTAGTTCAGTTTACATATGCTAGAGCAGATCAATTCAGATCAATTCAGGTACATGTATAGTTCTTTAGATCAGATCAATTCAGGTACATGTATAGTTCTTTAGCACACTTTATTACACTTACTACACTTAGAAGCCTCCTTTGCTGCTGCATGAGCACCCATTTACAGTGTCTTTTCCAGTCTTTTTTTCATTTTAGCACTGTCACTTCTCAGCAATAAGGTCGCTAGTTCGAGTCCCAGCTGGGCCAGTTGCCATTTCTGTGTGGAGTTTGCATGTTCTCCCTGTGTTCCTGTGAATTCCTCCTTCCTCTGGGGGCTCCAGTTTCCCCCACAGTCCGAAAGACATGCGCTATAGGTGAATCGGTAAGTAAAAATGGCCATAGTGTATAAATGCGAGAGTGTATGTAAAGGGCATCCGCTGTGTAAAACATATGGGGAATAGTTAGTGGTTCATTCCGCTGTGGCGACCCCTGATAAATTAAGGACTAACCCGTGCCCTTACTCTCACTGCTTGTCCATTCTTTCCTAAAAATCTCTATTGAATTATAGATTGTATGCTTAAGTAGCCCTAGATCAGTTTACACATGCTAGATCAGATTAATTCAGATGCAGGTACAGTGCTTAAGTACACTTACCACTTAGAAGACTCCTTTGCTGCTGCATGATCCTCTGCATTTACAGTACACTCTCCCAACTTTTCTTCATTTCAGCTTTCCTCTTCTGCTTTTTCGTCCCTCATTTACTGGCAGAGAACTGAGGGTGACTGATGTCTTTTTCACCTGATTTTAACTTTTGAGGAAGGTCAGCTGTGTCTCCATCGCTGTCGTGACTTCCAACAGGAGTGATCAGCTGCGTGAATCTGTGACGCATTTGCCTCCTGTTTCATTGTCTCCTTCAGCTATTGGAAGAGGTGCCAATTTAAAACCGAGTGAGTGTGTTTGCTGGAAAATGGTTTCAATCTCCACAGGGATACAGGAAATGGTTATTGTCACTACATGTTTTAGCAGGTCTGTTTAAGTGTGTTTGTGTGCATGTCTAATGGAGAAAGTTAAGGAGACTTGCTGTGATTCAGGAACAATTACGAGGCAAAACAGACATGCTTATAGTCATACGCCAGATGCACTAGCTTACAGCCAAGACTGTTGGTAATCTGTTTGCTTATGGCAAGCCATTTTAATATTTGCTGTAAGTCAGTGCTTCATTTGTAAATTAATAATTCCAAGAACAAACCAAGAAATAAAAGTTACCGTGACCGACGTCCACCAAACAATTTCTGTTTTCCCGGAACATGACGTCACTAAGATAGCGCAAAAAGAGCATCACGTTTCTGAACGGTCTTTAATTATTTTGTGCCATATAACGTTATAGGTCAGTCATGGACAATTAAAACATGTAGCTTTTCCCTCCCTGTTAAATTTGATCTAATCCATGTCCTGAAACACACCCCGTCTCCTGCTTTTACTTCTAAATCTAACAGAGGGAAAGATATGTTTGTGAGTAAATCTCTGTTATTAACGGCTCATGTAAATCATCGATATCCCTGCGTCTAAATGTGCATATCCACCTTTCTCATCTAAATGTTATAGAACATTTGTAATATTTAATAATTTAGGGTGGACAGTATGCACACTGAGGCACAGGCACTATGTTTTCAGGCACCCTTAAAAGTTACTTTAAAAACTATTCGTTATCTTCACTTCGCTAACAATAATACAAGTTTCTGGCGCTGCAGCATCTTGTTATACTATTTCATTTACATTGTTTGCTGATTTTATTCAACAAAACTAGTAAAAACCTAGTATTTAGTGCAAGTTGGTGCTACTTTGCCTTATGATGAGTGCAGCACAAAAGTTTATACAAAAACTTCAAAAATAAAATCTTACCTATGAAATGTTCTGCCTTCATGCTTTGTTTTCTTTGTTTGCTCATTACTACACTCGTAGGCAGTGCAAAAATCTAGCATCTTCGGATTGGCTTTAGTCTTGACTAGTGCATGACTTTTGTCCTGGGAGCACTGTACAAATGTGGCGACGGTATTGACGCATACTCAGGGTCTGTATGTGTATAAATCTATACCTTTTCAGTACACGATTATCAATATTCAGTTTAACCATTAATTATTATATTAAACTTTTTCTGATAATGTTAGTTTGTGAAGGCAAATACATGCTTCAATTTTTTTATTTAACTTACATTATAACATTAATTTATTATTAAAATTAGTATTTAAGCTTTCAGTGTTTTGAGGAATATTTAGAGTATTCTTACTTGCCCTAGCAGATACACTAATGTCATAAGACATTAATGTTAGGTTATATTTAGGTCCCCAGCATCTAAGGGCAATGTTTTTTGTTTTTTTTGACGTCCAATAACAACGTAAAATGATTTTGTTGATTTTTGGTTGTGTTGGAAAGCAAAATTCAACGTCAAGCCAGCATCTTAAACCAACATTATCTTGCCGTCGAATACTGACATTTATTTGTCAGGTATGGCAACCAAAATCTAACGTCTGACTGACGTCG